GGCCGTCAAGTACGGTGCGTCGCGCGTCGCGTGCACGACCTTTGGGTGTCCGCGCGTCGGCGGCAACGCGTACAAGCGCGTCTACAACGCCCGCGTGCCGGCCAACTTTCGCTTTGTGAACGCCCAGGACCCGGTCTGCCACACGCCGGTGCGTCTAAATCTCGCGGATCCACTGTATGCAATCGCTTCTGATGTAGCTGCGAACGTTGTGGGACTCGTTCACAGAGGTTGGCACGACCGTCATGCTCGACAGGCTCGGGAATCTGGTCGTGGATCCGAATCTGCTCCAATACGACTTGCTCAACAGCGGCATCTCGCGCGACGCGCACCGCCTCACGTCGTACCAAATGGCGCTTTTCCTGTGGTGCAAGCGAGCCCACTCGCGGCGGTTCGAGCCCAAGTTCTGGTCGCACTCGCTCCAGAAGCTGCGCGAACACCACGGTCACGTGCCCGAGGTGCTACACTACTTGCACCAGCGATCGCTCCTTGTGCGCACGGCCAACGACGCCGACGACGACCGGCTCTTGATGGAAATCTCGACGACCGTGCCCCCCACACGCAAGACGCTCGGGCTCTTCCAGCGCCCCGTGGTTTGCTTTGCGACGAACGACACCATCGAGGCCCTTGTCGCCGCGCACCTCGTGCCCTCCGAGGCCGACGCCGTCGAGGTCGGCCGCGTCCTGCTCGTGAAAGGCGCTATTCACATGACCGACGACCCTCAAGTGTTTCGGCACGACGCGTACTTTACGATTGTCAAGCGGTCGGTGAAAGTGGCCCCCGTCGAGAAGAGTCGCAAGACCAGCGGTGGCTCCATCACGCCAGAAAAAACAACTGTGGGCACATACAATAAGTGAGACGCCGCACAGCAGATTGGCGTATCACACTATCAAAACGGTTGTCGCTCCTTTGCCATCGACCGTCCAGCGATCTCGATTCGCGCCACACGCCGAGTCTATAAAACAGTGTATAGACACTGGTCTGCAATCGGGCGTTTTCTGTACCCGTCAATGATTGGTCAAAACAACGCAAAAGTCACGAATCCCACACGCGGTACGCAATTTAATAGTGGAATCAGCCGAATATCTTGTCAAATGTATGTCGGCGCAGGGCTGTCGCAATTAAAGACGACGGTTTCCGGCGCGAATAAAATACCCGAGCTTGGCGCGAAGCTCATTTGCGGAGTTTGTGGTTTTGCCGAGCATGTCCCGGCGGTCCGCGCGCAGCTCCGCGGGTGGCAGCCGCAGCCAGGCGCTGAGCGAGATCCGCCGCCTGCGCGATGCTGTCGTCGGCGACGATGAAGACAAGAAGGTCCGGCGCATCGACACGTACAACGCGGCCGAGTCGAGCATCTACCAGGAGGTGACCGAGGAAGAGTATAACGAGCTGGTCCGGAAGCGCCGCGAGGAACTGCCGTTCGTCGAGGACGACGAGGGTGGCATGGGCTACTATGATGACGGCGAGGAGCAGTATTTTGACGCCGACCCCGACGGCGACGAAGAAATTGTCGACGACGCCGACATGGACGTCTCGGGCAAGAAGCGCCCGAACACGGGCGCTCTCTCTAGCGCCTACGTGAAGCGCGCCAAGAAGATGCAGCGCGCGAAACTCGGCGCTGGTGACCAAAAGATCACGAGCATGTTCTTCTCCAAGCCAGGTGGCGGCCAAGAGGCCAAAGCGGCGGCCAAGCCCAAACACGTCAAGCGCGGTAGCAATTTATGAGCTCTTCGCGAAGGGCTCATTCATCATGTGTAGATATTGATCTCGATAGCATGCTCGATGACCTCACGAGCAACCCCATGGAGATGAAACTGCCGCGGTCAGTCCGTGCATTTCCCACCGCGCCGTCGCCCTTCACGCGCCCAGCGAGACCTGCCGTTCGCACTCCTGCCTTTTCCGCGCCGACGGCGCATGCACGGAGCAAGCCAAATGACGTGGCCATGGCACACGACGACAACCACGATGCGTTCGACGACGCTGGCTATGATTACGACGGTGCCGACATCGACTCGATTGACGAAGTGGAGCCCGCAACGAGCGAGCCTGAGCTGGTACATTTACCAGTCGTCGAAGACGAAGTTGTTGCCGAGGTTGTCAATGAAGCACCTCTCCAAGAGCGCAGCTTGACGAAGCGCGAGATGCTTCTCAAAAAGGTACAAATCTGCAAAAGAATGGAAGTCTCAAGTGCGATCTAGGCTCGCGAGAACCGCATCGAAGCGTCTGTTGGTGCCACGAAAGCAATGGTCAAGCACGAGCCCGAGCCTGTTGTTGAGGCCCCGGCTGCGCCAGTTCCGGCGATGGATCTTGCCGTGCCTTCGAACGAAGTCAATGAGTGGTGGAGTCGCAACGACACCTCCGACACGGCAGACGCCACGGAAGCCAACGCCTCGAATGCTCACCTTGAGGCTGCAACCGACGAGCTTCACATGTTTTGGATCGACGTCGTGGAAGTCCGTGACCGCCCTGGGAAGCTCTACGTCATCGGCAAGGTAGGCGCTTGGATCGATAATCTAAAGCCGGATCTAGAGAATGTGGTGATAGACCAAGGATGGCGATGCGTTCAAGAGCTGCTGCGTCGTCGTCAACAACCTCCAGCGCTACCTCTACGTCGTGCCCAAGATCCCGGACCATCTCAAGAGCTCGTACCCAACGATGGCGGACCTTCCTAAAGACGAGCAACAGGCGCTTTGGATGACAATGCACCGTGAGATCAGCACGCTCCTCATGCCGTCGATCATCAAAGAGCGCAAAGACCAGCAAGAGTTTCGCACCAAGCTCGTCGAGCGCAGGTGCGTCTTCACGACATATTTACAAATCTGAATCACGGGTAGCTACGCATTTGAGCTTCCGGACGTGCCTCGGGGCAAGAATGTCTATCTCAAGGTCAAGTACCCTGCCAAGTACGGAGTGCCATCCCCGGACGTGTGCCAAAAGGGTGGGTCGTCGTTCTCGCGCATCATTGGCGCAACTGTGCGCCCTCTCGAGACGTTCCTCATCCGTCGTAAGCTCCTCGGGCCCTCGTGGGTGCGTGTCACGGGCGCGCAACGGGTCGTCCAGAACCAAAACAGCTACTGCAAGGTCGAATTCGAAGCCCCGAGTCCGTGCGCCGTCTCGACGCTCATGGGGCTGCCGGCGCCGCCGCTCACTGTCATGAGTCTCAGTTTGAAGACATGCTGCAACCCGCACTCGCACAAGCACGAGGTTGTCGCGTTCTCTGCCATCACAGAAAGCAACGTGAACCCGGAGGGCACGGTCTCGAAGAAGAGCCAAATCTCGCACTTTTCTGGCATCCGGCCGTTCATGAGCGACAAGTTCCCGGACGGATATGCCCAGGCGGCACAAAAGAACGAACGATTCCGCGCGCCGCAGTGCTTGAGCCTCGAGATGAACGAGAAGGCGCTTCTAAGCTTCTTTCTCGCGCGCGTCCAACGGGAGGACCCGGATCTGATCGTGGGCCACAACTTGCACGGGTACACGCTGGACGTTTTGCTTTCGCGCATGGACAACTACAAGCTCGGTGGGTCGTGGTCGCGCCTCACGCGGCTTCGGCGCGGCATGCTCATGCCCATGAACACGGGCGAAGGCTGGAACGAGTACCGTCTCGACGACGTGTCCAACGGGCGGCTATTTTGCGACACGTTTGTTGCTGCCAAGGAGCTTTTGACGTCGCAGTCGACCTACTCGCTCACACACCTCGTCGCGACGCAACTTCAGAAGACGCGGGTTGAGGTCGAGATGACGGATCTCCCGTCGATCCTCACGTCGAGCGCCGAGAACTTTGTCAAACTGCTGCAACACACGCTGGATGACGCCATGTTTGTGCTGCAGCTCATGCACAAGCTTGAGGTGCTCCCGCTCTCCAAGCAGCTTGCGAACCTCTGCGGGTACCTCTGGAGCCGAACGCTGATGGCTAACAAGCGTGCCGAGCGCATCGAATACCTCCTCTTGCACGAATTTGACGTCTCGAAGCACAAGTTCATCGTGCCGGAAAAGTTCAAGGCCGAGAACAAGACCAAGTCCAAGAAGCGCCGCGAGGCTGCGGGGTACGCGGGCGGCATGGTCTTTGCGCCCAAGAAGGGTCTTTACGACAACTTTGTCGTGCTCCTCGACTTCGACTCGCTCCACCCGAGCATCATCCGCGAGTACAACATTTGTTTCACGACCGTTGAGCGCAACTTGCTCGAGGCATCAGCCCCGGTCCCCGTCGAGCTCCACGCAGAAGAAAATGAGGACGGCGTCGAGGAGGTGGTGATGCCGAGTCACGGTGATGTGCCAGAGCTCCCGAGCGCGACGGCTGCGGAAGGCGTTTTGCCGCAGGTCATCAAGCGGCTCCTCGAGTCGCGCAAGCAGGTCAAGAACCAGCTCAAGGCAGAAGAAGCTGCGGGACAAGTCGAGAAGGCCAAGCGCCTCGACATCCGCCAGCGCGCCATCAAGCTGACTGCCAACTCGATGTATGGTTGTCTCGGCTTCCGCTACTCGCGCTTCTACGCCAAACCGATTGCAGCGCTCATCACATCGACCGGTCGGCAGACACTTTTGCGCGCGCAAGAGGTCGCGGAGCAAGAGTGTGGCTACGACGTCATCTACGGCGACACGGACTCGATCATGGTCGACTCCCGCAGTGACAAGCTTGAAGACGCGAAGCGCATTGGTCGCGAGATCCAGGTCCAATGCAACAAGCACTTCAAGCTACTGGAGCTTGAAGTCGACTACATCTTCAAGACGATCCTACTTCTCAACAAGAAGAAATATGCGTCGCTCGTCGTGAAGGAGCGCAACGGCGTCGTCGTACGAGTATTTCCTCCGAAAACTGTCCGCTCACTTTCGCACACGTAGACGTTTGAGAAGGAAGTCAAGGGCCTTGACTTGGTGCGCCGAGACTGGTGCGTGCTCTCCAAGGGCGTCGGCAACGACATCCTCGACGTCATTCTTTCGGGACTATCGCGCGATGAGACTGTCGAAAAGATCCACGACTACCTACGCGACCTCGCCGAGAGAATGCGTGCCGGCAACGAGCCGCTTGAGCAGTACGTCATCACCAAGAGTCTCAACAAGCCGCCAGAGCAGTACCCGGACAAGGCCAAGCAGGTGCGGAGAAGGGGGCTTGTTCGTTTCTTATGTCCGTTCTAGTACCACGTACAAGTGGCATTGGCGCTGCGCAGTCAAGGCAAGGCCATCGGTGTCGGAACGCACATCCCCTACGTGCTCTGCAAGGAAGAGGAGGCGGGGAGCCAGCGCCGCGCCTACCATCCGGACGAGATCAAGCGCTCGCAGGGTACACTCAATGTCGATATTGAGTGGTACCTCGAATCCCAGGTATGCGCACGTCCATGGTGTCGGTTCATTACTGGATGATGCAGATCCATCCGCCCGTGAATCGTCTTTGCGCACACATTGACGGCACTTCGAGTCCGCAGCTGGCCCACTGTCTTGGCTTGGACACGAGCAAGTTTTCGCATGCTGCACGCAACGTCGGCGACGACGAAGTGGACGAGATCCCAAGCGTCCTCCAGCACGACTCTGACCGCTTCAAGGCCTGCGCCCCACGTTTGTTATCGTCAACGTGTTTCGTCTTGTCTAATATCTTTCTAGTGCGCCTGACGTGTGCTAAATGCAAGGAAGCCAGCGCATTCCCAGGCGTCCTGGTCGCACGCGCCGACGGTCGGACAGTGACGGGGCTGCAATGTCCGAGCTGCAGCGCCGCTTTCTGGGGCTACGAGGGCAACGATGGCGAGGACCTCTTTGTACTGCTGTCCAACCGCATGCACCTGGCGATCCGCGAGTGCTCGAAGCGCTACTATCAGGGCTGGGCCGTCTGCACCGACGGCACGTGTGGGACGCGGACGCAGAAGCAGTCGCTGCGTGGCCGCAAGGGTGACGCGTGCGCGATGACTGGATGTCGCGGTGCCGTGGTCATGGAGTACACGGACCAAGCGCTCTACACGCAGCTCAAGTACTTCGAGTCGCTTGTGAACGCAGACCGCGCCGTGGGACAACTCGAGCCGTCGCGCCAGGTATACGCATTATAACGACTCGGCGTTGGTGCCAACCGGCCACCACCATGTAGGATGCCAAGTTTCTCATTCAGGACCAGGAAAAGGCCATTTTCGACAAGCTACGCACGCAGATCCAAGAGGTTCCTGAGAGTGTTTGCGTGAACTCAAATATTGATGAATACGATATTAGGTTATCGAGCGCAACGATTACAACTGGGTGCAGCCGACGATGTGGACGAGTCTTTTTTCGTGAGCCCTGAACGAATGCTTTACGTTACCCGGCGATAAAATGCATTTACTCCTTCGTGTCGATACGTTAGTTTTGCACTCCCACCCCGCAAGGTACCCAGCGCACGTCGGATGGTTGACAACGGCAGGCATTCGAACCGAATTGGAAAAACGTCCTTTCTAAAGCTTTGACGCTATGTGTACTCCTCGTTGTACTGCCGTTGGCTCGAGGGATGCAGTCTGGGACGCAGTAGTCTCTAAGTTCGATCAAGGTATATCTCCTACACTGGAACCTTACTCCACTATGCCCCTTTCCACACTCTCAGACCACTCGGCAAGTTGTTTTATTCCGACGAACGCCTTTTGTTCAGGCGATTTTGCTTTGCCGCCAAGTCGTCAAAGGTACAAGACGAGACGTGCCCGCGCGTCGTTGCTCACCTCGAACACAACATTCGGTGTTGACGTGTGGCCCTTTATATTTGGTGTGCAGTGGGGCATTTGTATTGCCAACGTTCATTCTGAGCCACCAACCGGCCAAAAGTCGCTCTCGTCAAGCACACGATGTTAAGCGGTGTGGTCAAGCCGGTGACAGAGCGCCTGCAAAGTGATGTCTAAGACCACCAAGATCACAAAAGCAGCCCAGATATATCTCCTGCGAAGACTACAAATTCCAAATTTGCCGGTAAGGCGCTTACGAGCAGATATTGGTTGATGAAGTAGCGTGGCGCCACGAGTGAATTGAAGAATACACAATGTTATGCATGTTTGTAGTGCTGCTCTTACTTGGGCTTGAGTAAAATATCGTAAAATGTAATGTAGCTCATCTCATTGACATGACGGGCGGCCCATTCGTCAGGTGTCATCAATTGCATCATGGTCTTGGTCGCATGCAAAAATTCGCCTTTGTATGCAGGCTCGCGTGACACTGCATCCATGGCAGCCACGTCAAGTACTTGATGGCCTGCAGCCGACGCCACTGGGGTTGTGATCACCTTGCGAGAGCTTGGCAGCATCGCATTTCTTCTGCAGGTCGAATGAACGCAGCTTCCGCGAGGGACCGACCAATGCGGCTGCCCGCGATGCATTCAAACCACAGGCACTAGAGACTATACGAATAGCTGGGACGGGGTGGAGGCGTTGTTGTTGAAATGATTTTATCATGGGGAGGCATCCATCCCATGTGAACGACGCTACCGGTGCGGCCACAGCAATCACGAGTTCACGCACTGTGCTGGTTTGACGTTGGATAAAAATGGACTCGCGAAGGCTTGCCAGGCGCGTAACCAAGTGTAGGAGCATCGTCATTGCAGGGTCGGTAAGCGCATGCCGTGCGATCAACGGCGTCAATGGCGTCCTTGTGAATCATCGGGCACTCGTCCAAGACGGAGAAATCAGTCTCGCGAAGCAACGCGGCGAGGTGGCTCTATTTCTTCACACCAAGAATCGTGTCGGCGTTGACCACCAATGGGATCTTGAAGCGCGAGTGTACCACCGTGAAGAGTGAGCGCAGCAAGGCCCGTAAATACAACAGCAATCGCGACGCGTTCGTTGGACCGACACCATGCATGCAGAAGGTTGGACACATACTATTTCCTGAGCCACCCTCGCCGCATATATAGAAGAATAGTGTCTGCGTTGGCTCAGAGGCAGGTCGAGCTCCCGTTTGGTGTACTCGACGCTGGTGCACTGGAAGGCTGCATTGTAACGACGCAGTTGAGCAACGAAGCTTTGGCTGCGCAGAAACGCAGCGTATCGGTCGAAGCAATCGACAACGTTGGCGTTCAAAACAGGCATCTCGACCGAAGGCACAAGCGCAGCGTGGAAAGCCATGTTTCAGCTCGTAGGCCAGCGTGGATGGTGCACTCCGACGGCATCGTTGTTGCGGCACGGAGTATGATTTCTGTAACTTGCTGGAGGATCGCGCCTTGCAGCGTGGGAGCACGTATGGTCGACACTGACGTTGCAATTGTTGCAGCAGGGTGAGCCAAGCTTGTAAAAATCTCCAAGGGCATGAGACGGGCATCGCAATGCTCACACACGTACGTGAAAGCCTGCAGTTCGTGCTCGGAGACGTCGTCCTCAAGAGGGTCGTCAATTATGTAGCACGCGACTTGGGTTCCACGCTGCCAAGAGTTTACTTCGGCGATATCCTCCTTGTCAATGACGTCGTCACCAATGACCACGTCAGCTTCATTCAACGTTAGCGCTGACTCTTCTTCCACAGCCTCTTCGTTCATGGCAATGTTGTCGATGTAATCCTCGTCGTTCTCGGCGTCGTTGTCCTTTTTGGCGTCGTTGTAACCGTGTAGCAGGGATGGCGAGTGGGGCCCATTTCCGTTGTGAGTGAGTACGCACTCACTCACAACTCGCAAACGACAATAGTGAGTGCACTCAGCTACTTAGAGTTAACTCATGCCTATTCAGCGGTACAAATCGTGCGATTCTTCGATGGCGTGTTCTTGGCGGGGGCCAACGCCGCGGAATGAAGCGTATCAGCAATGTCGATGGCCGACTCAGTCTGCTGGCGTCGAGGTCGAAGAAATTGATGAGCAAAGCAGTGGCTTGCGACGTCTACGTCGTCGACCCGAGGGTTTTGGCGAGGGAGCTGTCATCTGAGCACATGCGGATGAACTTCTTGTTGAATGCCAGCACAAGAAGCATCTCGAACTTTGCGTTGCCGAGTTTTTGTCACAACGGCGAGTCGATCAGCTCGCAGAGCGAGAAGACGCGCTCCTGGAGGGCGTTCGAGTCCGGACACGCGAGCTCACGAGCTGCAAGACGCTCGACGAATCGATGGTGGCAGCCTTTTTTGCACCACCAGAGGTTGAGGTCAAAAAATCTTCGAGAGATGCACCCAGTTTCTGTGAGCAGCCTTCTCCTTCAAGTTGTCGAGAAGGTCACAACTTTGAACGCGCTCGAGGAAGTCGAGAAAGCTTCATGTGGCGGATTGCATTCTATGAGCTCGACGCTTGAAGTGCGACGCGACAATCGCGGAGTGGTAGCTTCGACTTGAGGCACACGCGGCACACGACGATGGACTAAGCGACTTCCTCGAGCTTACCAAAATGCTTCCAAACCCACGACGACTTGCTGGTAATTGCAATAGGCGTCGGGGCGGTCGTAGCGGTGCTGGTGTTGGACGGCATGGTGTCGATTCGAGGCATGAAACGGTGATGGCACCTGCGCTGCTCTAGTATTTCCTTCCTCTCCCCCAGCCATGCGTTGCCACGACAATTGGAAGCCAGTACGTTCCATAGAGTATATATGTGCGAAAAAGGATCTTCTGCGGGGGATCGAAGTGGGGCCAACACACACTAACTCAACCCACTCACACACACTCACTCAGGCACCCCGCTGAGTGAATCGGCACTCACTCAGAGTGAGTGTACTCTGAGTGGGTCAAACCTATTCATGGCCCACTCACTCGCCATCCCTGCCGTGTAGTCTTCGTTGTTGGCACACGAAACGGTTATGCTGATCGGTGCGTCTTGTCTAGCGGAAAAACGACGCATGACACGCGAGGCGCCATGGTTCGAATTTGAGAACCGAGTCGAACTCGCTCGCTATCTCCGGCTCAGGCTAAGAGTCCGATTCGACTTGTCGGACTTTTGTGCATGACGCTTGCCAAGGTTACCTCGTCGGCGCGGTGAGAGCGCATTAGCGGGGGTGATGGCGCGGTGGCGGCGTGGGAATAGTGAGTCTCGACGTGACACCGGCGGCGAACGCTGTACCTTTCTTTTGCGGTGCGGTAGGGGTCTGTCGGTGCCGCGGTAGACTTCTCAGCCAGGAAGTCTAAGGGCGGGTTGTCACGCAGCCAGTGGCATCCAACGGAGCGACGCATCCCAATGCAGTAGGGATCGGCTCATGATTCGGAGGTTGCTCGACTCACCGGCGGTCGACAGACGTCATTCATACGAGAAGGTGTACGCGACCGACTTTTTGCTGCGATGTATTTGGAAAATCATTTATCATGCAGCTAAGCTCGTCATTCGCAAGCTGCGTCTCTACAGAATGACTTTTGGAATCGATACTTTAATGCACCGTACGTGATGCATCGCCCTGGTGTGCAGATGTGGACCATGTTCATCGTCACGAGCTGTGCAGCAGAAGTTGCGTGACAGGATCTGGAATCTTTGCGCAAACTAAACGGTCGATTATCCGGGGATTGCGGACTTCGTCACCGTCAACTAGCGTGAGAAAAAGGTGCACGTGAGATAGACCCCGGTTTTGAAACTCGATGACCCCGACGTAAACTTGCCCAAACATCTGTGTACAAGATGTCGTCCTCGATGCAACACAGCTTTTCGAAGAATATGCGAGACACGACGTCAAACTTATTACATATTCGACTAGATCAGACTTGCAGTAGATGTGCACAATAGCCATAGCATCTTGGTAGCGTTGCTATATGTGGCAGTCGCTGTCAAGAAGCGACGACAGAAGTATGCTCTAACGGCGACAGAAAAATGGTATAACAACGACAGAAGAAGACCACGATGTACGCTTGACAAAAATATCTTCTATTGCTTATAGTAAAAAGATCTAGCTAGGTACACCCTCCTCGGATTACCAAGCTCGGACCGACCGGAGGCGACGCCGACGCAGCGGCGAAGCAGCCCCACGAGAAAAGCGAGTGCGCGCACGCAATGAGCAATGCATTGATCTGTGTAACACACCAGTCAGCGCACTTGTGCGGGCTTTGTTGGGTTGTCGGGGGCAGTTTCCCCGCAATGGTGGCTATCCGAACATTGCCGAAAAAGGTTTCCCAAATCGGTATAGTGAAAGCAACTATAATGACACCTCGATTAGGGTTTTTCCGGGCCACATAAAGTCACCTTGCTCACGACTAGCCGCGAAGCGGCTAGACGAGCGCAGCGATTATTTGTTTGTAGGGCGTATATGTATGGCGCCGACGAGCGAAGCAGGCCTTTCCCTGCACAGAACTTCATGTACGCATGCAGCTTCGAATATTAGAAGCTGCTGATTGCTGTTTTGTCTTGTCGTTTTATCTGTGTTTTTTGCTCTCATGTATATCAGTTGCTTCTGCCCGCAGTTTAGTTTCTCTGAATAGTGGTGTGCCTATTA